AGTCAGAGGCATGTTATAGATTATAATAACGACTCTCCTAGAAATTGTCTCTAGATTATTACGGAGTCCTAAGTCTCGGACTATGATATGTTATGTATGCCTATAGATGCAAGTGTTAATGCATGTAATGACTGACCAATGCATGTAATGGGTGACTTGGATACGCATCGATGGATATTGGGATTTTGATGCGCCAAAGAGAATTGGGCTTAAGGGTAGATGCCAAGTGAGATTAAGCTTTTTGTTGAATCCATGCTGTTGGAGTTCGTTAGCTGGATGAGATAATAGGTATAGCTTGATTTTTGGATCGCAATATCCCAATGAATGTATGCTAATGATTTATTCAGACTTATGCTTTATGATTATGACTCGCATGGTTTGTTGAATGGTGCCCCTGTGATGGGTCATTGATGAATAAGTGTAGAGGTTTGATGATGTAACCATGTTGCTTGTCACATGATGGTTGCATGTTGTGCTTGGATGATTTCCTGATACTCGCTTTGAACTCGAAGGATTACTGATGTAGGAGAAAGATCCATTGGAGATTATGAAAGTGGGTGGAGAGCTTGCTTTTTATGGCCCGTCTTTCCCTAATTTGTTGGTAGGGTCTTGGAGGAGATTCTCACGGATATAAGCTTGGAAATAGTTTGACCATAATATGAGTGACCCCACTATTTTTCATTATTCCCCTGATTAAAATACTCTTGAAAATATTTGGCTTTAATGGACCATTTTTAGTCAACTCCTTTTGATCGAGCCTTGCAATGATTTTCCCCACCATTTAAATTTTGAAAGATTGCCCCTTGAATCAAAGCCTTGAGAGATTTGTTTACAATGAGGGAACCGAGTCATACACTGTTATGATATGATTTGATTAAGGAATGAAAGGTATTCCCCTAATTGAACAATGCTTTGAAATTTGATCTGGGTTGATTGAATTTCGAAATGATCACCCTTTGTGAATAGCATCTTCATGTGATATGCCCCCATGATCATTAGCATTTGACCCTGTATATAGGGATCCTTTTAGATTCTTTTCCCCTAATTAGAAGCTTATGGGAAGATACTAATTTTAATCACTCCTTTTTGAAATATCCTCGATGCTAAGTATTGACTTGTAAATAAAATTGTACGTTTTGAAAAGCAATTATGTTTTATGTACATGCAAGTTTTGAAGTCGAAGTTTGAATAGAAATGGAGATTCGAAGAAGCGAAGTGATTCGTAATAAATTTAACAAACGTAGGAGTCAGTTTAACACGAATTTTGTCGAGTATGCTTTCATAGTTAACCTTGCTTCAATTAGGACTTTTGAAGGTTGTAACGTGGCCATGGTTCGTGGTTTTAAGAAACAAAAGATATAAGGCTCAAAATTTATTTAGCCCACCCCATTATCATTGATGTTCTTCAATCCTATGTTCAACTAATCCAACAGATGCATTCAATCCCCAAGAGAAGTTTCGTAGTTTCGCAGATGATGAGAAGCATTGATAAGATCCAAGCCTCGATAAGATCCAAGCGTTGATGAGAAGCCTTTGAGGTGGAAGTCACAAGATTTTTCTCCAATTTCGTTTTCAATCCCTTATTTTTGCATGGACCGATTTTTTTGAATTTTCTGGTCCATCGGGATGCCCTAACTTTTGCCTAAGTCAAGATTTTTTTGATTTTTGTTTTTCGACTTAGCAGGCTCTCTCTTTCTTTTGAAATTTTACTTTTGAGATTGTTTTTTTATTTTGAAAATTCGTGACTGCCACGCCGATCATTGTAAGCTTCGTCTCAATTTTGAACGATGTATTGAGGAGGAAGATGTTGAGAGCTTTGTCTTTATTGATTGCTTCCTCAATCTTTATTGATGTGCACGAGTAAGACAATGTGCTTGAACCTTTGCTTAGATTGTTTCCTCAATGATGTATCGAGGAAGGAGATATGTTTGAACCTTTGCTTGGATGGACTTGATTCTCTTGAGAATAGAATGCACCATTGAATTAAAAAGACTACCCTGCCCTTGGTTAAGATTAAGGTTTTTTTTTAATAGAAAATAGAAACAACTCCAACTTCTGGCTCGAGGGGGTTGACTACGGGTTAACTCCTTATATCTCCCCTATTTAGGGATTGAAACAATGCCTTACATCGTCATCTCGGTCTTACATTGAAAGCATAGCTTAGAAAAATTCAGTTATTTGATTTTCATCATCCTCCTTTGTTAATTGTAAATGGAAAAGAGTGAAAATATTGTTGATTTTTTTGGATTGAATCAATTTCAAAAACATGCATGCTTTTTTATTAGAATTACTGGTCCAAAGATAAAAGTTTACAATAAACATAACTTAGCAACAATGAAATTATAAAGGTCTATTATTCCTAGAGAAAAGCTTATTTGTGGATCCTCTTAACTTTTGGAGAGCTTAGTGATTTTGGACTTGTCAGAGCATGAGGGGAATCACCAATGGTAGTGGCACTTGAGGCGCTACGTAGACCCGTTGTTGACCTTGTGAAGGGATTCCTTCTTTCTTTGTAGGGCCAAGCTCCAATGAGTCTCCAATAGATAATCCCTTGTTTCCATAATTTCAGACTTTCTTGAGTTGTTCGCGAGTACCAGGAAATTAACTAGCATATGGATGATAGTCGGATAAGGGAGAAGGTGGAAATGCATGAGATGCAAATGTATGAATGTATGTGAATGAATGGGTATGCAAAAATGTTTTTGGCTTTTGGGTATGCAAAAGGTTTCATAGATATGCAATGCGATGCAGACGTAGTATGAGGGTAGATGTAGGGGGTACCCTATGCAGGTTTAATGGTAGATATTGAAATGATAATATCGTATATTGTCTCAGAGATTGAAACATATATGGATTCCTCGAGGACAAAAATAATTTGATGTGGATTTGGAGGTACCCTACATTGTCTCAGATTTTGAGACATATAGGAATTCCTTGAGGGCGAAGATAATAAATATGAGTTTGATGATATCCTAATCTAACTCAAATATTGAAACAGGTAGGAACTCCTTAAGGATAGAAGACAAAGGGGAATCCCTACGAGCTAGAGATGGTAATCGCGGGACGAGAATTACTACTGGCTAGGGATTGTAATAGACTAATGGACAGTTGAAGAATCTCTACCGGCTAGGGGTTGTGACTTATGATAGATAGACCCTACAGGCTAGGGATTATAGTCTGGAAGTAACCCTTGTGGGTTTAGGGATAATGGAAATTGGATTATATGAATGATATCCTTAGAAGGTAGGCTCCTAGTTTTGGCCTACGGATATTTTACCCTCCCAATAAGGTGGTTTCCTTAAGGGTATCATGAATAACACCATAGGGAAAAGGCACAAGGGCCTACCTTAAGTGGAGCCTCTTTACGGACCGAGACTTTCGTCTCAAAGTCATGAAAGATCTCGTCATGAGATTTTAGGTTAAGGTCGTTACAAAGAGTCATGGGTGACCTTCCAAAGTCCTACTCGTCAAGAGGGTATCTCTCGATAAGTATTCCTTTTTCAGAAGTCCACCAACTCTAGGCGAAGTCGTCACATAAACTCGCAGGGATGATGTATCCCCTAAGCTAATAGACGAACCTTGTTTCTAAGGGTTTATTTGAGAATATTTTTTTGAAAAAAAAAACCGCCACATAGAAAAGATATAATAATAAAGAAAAATAGACAAGAAATAAATAAATGAAATAAATAGATAAATACAATAAATAAATAAAGCAAATAAAAATAAAAACCCAAAAAAAAAAACCTAAAACCCAAGGTTGAGGATTCCCCAGCAGAGTCGCCAGCTGTTGTGACTGGTTTTTTAATCATAGCCGCCACTACTAGTTTTTATCCTAGGGAGGGGAATCTAACAGAAAACCCTAATTCGCAACCAGAGATTCTAGGTTTGGACTTTTTTAGACGAAAGGAAGGTGTTAGGCACCTTTCATCTACCTTGTTCACAAGGATACTAGGTTTTAGGTTTGAGTTGGGGAAACAAGATTTAAATTTTATTAGGGGAAGGGTTTAAATTTTTTATAGGGGAAAAGTCTCTTAATTTTTTAATAGGGGAACTCGCTACAATTTTTGATCGTGTGCCTACGTATCCTCTTATGAGGAATCAGAGTCCCAATTCGTAGTTCGCAGTTTGGTTGGTTTTTTTTTTAAGATTGCGTAGAATTGCTTTTGAATTAACCTTGAACTTTGTCTGGATTGTAAATTGAATGATCTTAGATGTGGTTTGCAGTCTGATTCAAAAGTAATTCTATGTAATCCTTTTTCGAAAACATCTTGTTTTTGATTATGTTAGTGGAAAAAATAGTTTGTAATTGGTAAGTTATTTTGGTATTTGATTTGATTAAGGCGTGGATCGGGGGAGTCTGATATAGTCTCTTCCTCACGTGGTCAGATATTAACCACATTTTACTCGTCATGAAGGATGCGGAGGAAGACTGATATAGTCTTCCTCACCACATGGCTAGATATTGGCCACGTGTCGCTCGCAGACGAAATATTCGAAATTGCGTGGGTTTTGATTATTTTTTTTACATTTTTAATTAATTAAAACTAATTAACCTAAATAAATAATTAACTTAATTAACTAAGGAAATATATTAAATAAATTAAAGCTAAACTAAACAAATAAATAGTCTTATGGTGCATAAGTAAATTAGGGGGGGTGATGATAACATTCTTGACCCTGATTGAAGTTAATCCAAAATGGATCAAAGCCCAACAAAATTTAACTAAATGAAATAGAATGGTAAATTAATAATTAAAATTTCTAAAGTAAGAAATAACAATAAAGATGAAAAGGGAAAGAAACGTTACACCTAATTCATGGATAGCAACAGTAGCATGCGAATCATAAAGCCAAACCAAATACTAACCAGTAGATATTCTCACTTTTCTTATACATCTTGGACGGCTCACTAGTATGTCACTTTCCTTTGTTTTAATATTTCTATTAAATACAATATATGAGTAAACCAGTATAAGGCCAATTTCAACAGCCATTCATAGATGAACAAGTGGCAGTATATAAAAAAAAAATCTATAACACTAGAAAATGCAATATTAGTAGAAGAAATCAACAAAACCGACTATAATGTCTCTTATTTATTCTCTCTCCAAACAAACGGGTACAAACTCCATCTTTCTATGTTTCATGCTCAAAAGCAAACTCATCCCTTGAATCACAAATAAACAATAAACAATTAGAAATCAGGATAGAAAAAGAAGTGATCCGACCTATATTTTGCGTGGCCGGATGGTGGTGCTGAGTTACGATCTACATGATGGTGAATGGTGGTAGCAAACAGTCAGAGACGCAGACTCCAACGGCGAATAGGATGCATGATTCTTTGTGCGGCGGTTGACCGGGCATTTATGGAGAATTTAGTGTGCGGAGATGAGTGATGCGGAAGAGGTGTGTGTTGAAGAGTGCATTGAAATTATATCGGAGGAGCGCGATCGGAGTTGGGGTCACATGATGGTGATGTTGATTATGAGGCTAGAGCTGCTGGTGTGTTGCGGGAGTTGATCGTGGTTGCATCGGCATGAGGGTTGCAATGTTGCACTGTATCGTGGTGTGCGAACGTGAGTGGACAAAGCTGTAACTTTTTTCTGGTATTATTCCTACAAAAACAAAAACGAAAACTTTGTAAATGTTTGATATCTTGTTGTTAGTTTGCAGGTTCTTTCGTTGTGACAAAACCTTGTGACTGAGAATTTACGGGTTTCGTGGAAATTAGTTTTGATCTTTTTCTTGAGATCATTCTTTTCAAGTGAAATTTGGTTGTTTCTCAAATTTATGATTTAACGGAAGTGTGGTTCATGGTTATGAAGTGTTTCTTTCAAGTTTAATTCTAAAAGAATTATTGATTATTGTTTTGTGTGGGATTCAAAGTTGTTGATTCAAACACATTCTAATTTTCTCAAAAAGGTTGAACAATTTCAAGATCATCCATGTCAAGTTCAAATTTTCATCAAGTTTGTGATTCAAAAACTCAAAATCCAAATTACATATTCTATTCATTACCATCCATGGTTCAATCTATTCAAAATTATTCTCATTCATTCAAGATTATTCATGAAAGAATCTAAGAGATCTCAAACACTCTTCCATACACTTTTTCTTTCAAGGTCATTCAAAATTCTCATGATTCATTCAAAGCTCCCTCTTGCTCAAGATGTGGTTATTCAAAGTTGCCAAGATTTGAATCTCATTTCAAAGAAACTTAATTTTCAAGCTCCATCACATTTTCAAGATTTACATCTTCGACTACAAACTGTACAAGTCCAATTCATGGCAAGCTTTGTTCCACCAATAAATTACAAGCAAATACAAAGAGTTTAATGTTGCATTACAAGGCTCTTCACAAAGATTACAAAGAAACTATGTGCTCTAAAAGTTATAATGACCATATTTCCAAATTGCATCATCATCTTTGCCATTTACACAAGGGATTCAAAATTTTCCTATGCCTAAGCTACATCATAATACCTTGATTCCCTTCTTGAGCTTAGAAGTTTCTCAACCTCACCTTTGCAACCAATCCATATTTGCACTTGAAATAAGTATAAAAAAAGGTGTTAGTACGAAGAATAACAAAGAATTTTCAAGAAAGAACTTTACAATCTCATCATTAGGTTTTTGTTGCAAGGAATCAGAAAGTTAGGGGGTGTATTCAATCATGTTCATCCAACAAAAAGGCCCCATTATTTTTTCTCACACAATAATCAGAATTTTAGTTTAATCACGGGCCAATTTTCGATTTGCAAATCTCAAAACAAATTTAGTTCACAAAAGGAGGTACAAACAGAAACAATTCACTAAGTCTCATACTTTTTCATAGCAAGAATCATATTTTTGAGCAATACTCATGGGCCTAATTTTGTCTACTGTAAATCACAAATGAATTTGGTTCATAATAGAGGTGAAAAGGACATTTACTGCATAGCAAACTCAGTAGAAAAACTCATATTTTTATCACAGTTTAAACAAGTCAGACTTGCAATTCCAGCCTAATAGAAAAATCAACAAAAGCCTGTTATTAAAACTCAGTTCTCAGCAAGAAAATATCATAAACCACAAATAATAACATATCACAAAAATTAACACTGAAGATCCATTCAAAGGTGATAACAAACACAAAAAAACTCAGCAAGCCTGTAAAAGGAATGGAAGGCCCAACATCGCAGCAGCAACATGGAAGAAAAAAAAGAAACTCAAAATGACTGAACCAAAAGGCTAATAAGAAATTATAATTTGTAGCATGGCTATATAGCATGCATTTGATACAAATTCGGAGCACGTTTTCACAAAAGATCAGAAACAGAAATTGTAGCAAGCTGTCAAACCCATTTTTCTATTCATCATTTTCCAGAACAATCAAAAACCTTCAGAAATTTCACTAGTTTCAGAGAGAGAAAAAGAAAGAATCAAAAATACATCACCCGAAGAAGGCCGAAAATCCCAACCACCATGTTGGAAATCTCAAACCACCGTGTCGGAATCCAGAACCACCCTTGTTTTGCTACCTTTCCTCTTCAAAAGGTTGTTTAGCCTCTCTTCGAATCAAATCTCTTCTTTATTTGCTATTCTGAGTTGGTATTTGTTGTTAGGACTCAGATTTCCGGAACTTGTTTTGTAGATCTACTGAATTTCGTAAACCTTTTCGAAAAACTAGTTGCAGATTTGAGACGAGGAAGAGAATACGAACAGAAAAGTGTACAAAAACATTACGTTCTAGATTACTCACGGCGGCGCCGCCGCGAGCCCTCGCTGGCAACCACCGTGAGTTCATCTTCTCCGACCGACCTTCTCTTTCTCTCTTTATTCGTTTCCTTCTTTTATTCTATTTAAACAAAATAAACAACTTATGTGGATATATCAAAGGAGAGAGGAAATAGTACATTGGGTATTTTGAAAATTGATTGTTGTTGTTGTTTTGATAACATAAACAACCTTGTTAATATAACTTTTCGTTCCATTTTTCCTCCTCCGCCTTGGTTTCTACGCTGCCTGTTGGAAGGACAAGTGGTCCTCCTAACACTTGTCCCCGTCTAAGAAGAAGAAGTGCATTTTGATTTCACGCGCGTGTACTCACTGTACTTACAGTGTACTTTTAATCTGGATCTTTTATTCTACAAAAATTCTGAAAAAATTAACAAAAATCATTTATCTCATTTCTGACTTAGTGTATTTTTTCTGGAATTTAATTTTGATTTTTGCTATTTTTCACTTATTTGAGTGATTTTAATTAATTTAAAAATACTTTTCTGTTTTCAAAAGTTACCAAAAAAATTGTAAAAATATTTGAGATTATTTCTGAATTTTATATGGCCTGTTTTAATTTTTCTTTGATATTTTGAATTTAGTTTGTCATTTTACCTTTTATTCTCATTTAAAAAACATTTAAAAATCAATTTTCTCAATTCTATTTTGATTAATTAATGCAATTTTATTTTTGTATATACTCTGACTGATCTTGGTCTATGTAAAATTTTAATCATGAGCTTTATTAACATCATTAGATCTATGGTGTTGAGTTTAACTCCACAAAAAATGGATGAATGATTTTAATAATAGTTTGATTAAATTCTTTGGTTCAAATGTGGAATTTAATTCTAGTTCATCCCATCCCTCTTCATCTCATCCTCTTCTCACTTGTGCTACATGTTATTGGAGAATAATCTACATATTATGTCTCCAAAAATATGGTACATATATTGCTATTGACCGACCTCAAAATAGGTGCGACTTCTATATAAGTCTGATTTCTATATAATTTCGCTTATGATTGCTTAACATAGCACTAAATTTTGTCCCGATTCGAGAAATAATCCTTCGTGGCCCAAACCCATGTTTGCAATCCCAAGTATGTTAATTTGAAACCTTTGATCCAATAACCTTGAGATTCATTGTTAGGAGGCTTTGGTCTTATCAATTCTCTAATGAACCTTTATAAACTTTGGTCTAAGTGAATCACTTAAACATCATTGATCATTTATTGTCCCCTCAAGATTTTGAAATGAATGATATGCTTGACAAAAAGCAATTGAAACTTGTTGTTTGAGAGGCTTTGATTTTATCAATCTTCTAATGGATTTTCAAATGCAAGTTTCAAGATGGTCATTCAACTAACCTCTAATCTCTAACTCATTAACAATTGACTTTTGTCTTTATGCTGTTACTTTACCCTTACTTTTACGCACCATTTATTTTACCATTTACATTTCATGCTATTTTCATATTTTCTAATTTTGAGCTTTCATTTTCTTTTTGAAGATATCTAATAACCATCTTGAACAATAAAAAGCTTTAATGTTATTTGGACTATGTGGTTACTATCCTTGGCATTTTAGAGATTGTGGACTTTGTAGAACTTAGGAGTAGAGACCTTGACCACCTTTGGGACCATGTGACTTCTATTGTTATTTTGTCTGGCGTTCTTGGGATTTACCCCAAGATACTGAGTTGTTTGTTTTCTTTGTGTGCAAGTTATTCTGATTATACACTTTGTCTATGATTGGGAATTCATCTGTATACAGCCGTTACTCTGCCCAATTTTTATGAAGACTTAATGCATTTAAAGTTTGTTTTTTCTTAAGAGGTTTATTATCTTTTCTTGTTTGGTTTCAATCCAAAGGAGAGGAATTCTACATTGACTCATTGTGTCAAGTGTTGGCTTCTTTTTGGTTAGACAAATCTTTTTAATAACTTTTACCTTATGTTTTAGGGTAGCCTCTTCATCTCCTCCCATCTTCTTTAATTTCAAAAATCATCTCCTTCCTTTCCAAAACCCTTCTTGTTTTCTAACTTGGACTTAGGTCCATGCATTTTCAAAACATTTTCTTAATCAAACTTTAACCAACCTAACAATACTTTGACCTTTTTGTGAGAAGACTACAAGTCAATCAATCTCATTCAAACCATTTTGCCACTTTGACTTTTTGCTTTAAAATTTCTCAAAAGATAGACTCTTGTCAATCCTTATAGTGATGCGAGCTACTATACTTCTACGATATGTAGTGAAGTGAGATATTTTCCACTTGGGTGTTGAGCAAGGCTTTGTCGATTTTAAAATCCAGGCCATATCCTCCACTTTGAGATGACACAAATTCTCCTTTCTCATTATCATGGATAGTAAGTATGTTTTACACTCTGATAAGACAATGATGTCTCGTCTCCTAAAATTAACCAACACGTTTGTGTTTTAAAATTTTTAATGGTGAACTACGAGTACCCTGATCCTCTATTGCATTGAAGGTGGTACGTAGGCACTAAAGGTTCGCAACCGCGGCGGGTGCAAAAATTGTAAAAAATACTTCTTTTCCCATCTCCACCATCTATTTTTGTATACAAAATTTATAGCCAAAATACACAGATTTTTAAAGAGGTTCTGTGGAGTACCGTAGATGTTTAGGATGCTAATACCTTCCCTTTGCATAACTAACCCCCGGACTTATATTCTCTCCCCCTCTTTTTGGGTTATTTGCTCTTTTCCCATTCCTTTGGAAACAATAAAGTGAGATGGTGATTATTATTTGATCTGTGCGAGTCAAGTCAATCCAATGGCTTTGTCTTAACATTTCTACCGCTACAGACTGGACCAAATAAATTTGATCGATGAAAAAAGGCTTGCGGTTGTTTGTCATGGTCAGATGTATCAGAAATGCATGATCAAATCCTTTAACAGGAAAGTCAAACATCGGGTATACCAGGATGGTGATTTGGTAATAAAGCACATTATCCTACCACAATGTGATTCCAGAGGCAAATGGACTCCCACATACGAACGACCATTTGTGATCAAAAAGATATTTTCTGGTAGTGTTATGATACTTACTACCATGGACGATGAAGATTTTGCACACCTTGTGAACGCAGACGCAGTCAAAATATACTACGCGTAAAAGAGACCCGCTAGGTTGACAGGCCTATGAAAAAGTAAGGGCATCTCGGCGAACCAAAAGGGTTGGGGAAAATATTAGGGATATATAAAAAAATTGTACATCTGGCAAGTTGAAAACCTGAAAAAGAGGCTTGGGCAAAAAAGGATATCCCGATGGACTGAAAACCCGAAAGGGTAGTCCAGGAAATAGTTAGGGATTAAAGTGTACGACTATGTCGCATTGGATCACCCAACTACTTATAGCCAGCTTCATTACTAGCGTCAAGTTCAAACGGTACAAAAAAATTCAATCATCTTCTTCCAACAACAAGTGATGAGATGTTTGAAGACATAGGGGCAATAACAAAGTTGAAACTCGATGGGATTATTTCCACTTAGTTGTTTTTACTTGTTTTTCTTTGTACCCTTTCTTCATTCTTACGACGATTTCCTCTTACTA